AGAATCAGATGTAATGCACAAAGAAAGTGAGGAAAAAGAAGCTGATAAGACTATCAAGAATTTCTTAAAAAGGAAGAAACTTCTCAAAGATCATAGGTGTTGATGGCAAGATGTTCTAGCGGATAAAAGATTTTCCTTCTCAAAGGGTATGCACAACTCGCTTTGGAAATCACACTTCGAAATTTAAGCAAAATGAAACTGGTCTACCACAGGACACTGTAATTAACCTCGTTATGTTTAATATTTTTATAAATGACCTCCCTGATCTGATAACTTTTGATGAATTAATATAAAACAGGCTCCATTTGGAGGGATTTAGTCCTTTGATGTAGCTATGTGAAAAAAATGACTGAAAATGAAAACCTGGAGCTACTTGAACATTGGTGCAAGAAGAACAATATATCAGCAAACATAAATAAAACTACCAGCCAGTATCTCACTCTTAACTAACAATTCTGTGTTTCCAAACTCGTCTTTCAGGGTAGACTTATATAACTTAGGCCCACCAGCGGCCGAGCGGTAAAGTCGCTGAACACTGGTAGTTCTGTCCGAGGTTCGAATCCCGCGAACGGGCTGGCTGCATGGGCGTTTTCGTGGTTTTCCCCATGTGTAACGTGTATACGAGCCAGTTCCCTTAGAAAGTCCTCCACGAAGGTATCCCTCCCCTTAGGCAGATAGCCCTCGTGTGCTTTGCCATAATTAAATACACCACCATATATAACTTAATGATTTTTCAACAGACTTGGGCCGCATCTTCGACAACAAGCCAACTTGAAGGCGACATGCTGAGCATATTATCTCAAAAGCAGAAAAAAAGGCTATATATTCTTGAACGATTAGCCGGAGTTAATTGAGGCTGTAACAGATAAACTTTAAATACATCTTATAAAATGTATATTCAGCTTGTCCTGAACTATTCTAACGAAGTGTTGGTTTCTGCTTGTGGTAGGCTGAGCAATAGCCTGGAGACTTTTTAAAACCAGGTTTACGAATCATTTCTGGAGGAGTCAAGACCACTCCTGTTTTGACGATGTAGATACTAACAAAAAAAAAAAAAAAATGATTAATGTTGTTAAAAAGATGCAACTTCCTATATAACAAGTTAATTAAGCTCCCTAATAACTCTTTTTAATGCCACTGCAGTCACAATCAAGAACATTACCTGAAAACTTAAGGTTTATTCAATGTGTACATGATATTGACTGTTTCCATTTAATTAACAATACACCTATTGATCATGCTTTCTTGTTAACCCCTGGACTACATGGACCTTGATGCAAGACTGGACCTAAGTCAGAAAATAAAAATGTATAACTATTTATCCTGAAGCACTGCGTGCCATTTCTCTGGAAACTACTCTCGAACGCAATCTTATTTATTAATGTTTTCACATCTATACAGATGGTTCCCTTCCGCACTTTACCCAAGGAGATGGAACTACTAGTATTCAGCGGCCTTAACCTTTTGGCCTTTGGCGGGGCCTAGAAAAATGGGATGATGAGTTATTGAAGCAGAATTTTGGTACCTTCTAAAACATGAAACCTTTCACCCAAACTTTGCAGCGTTCGTAATAGACTTTGGATCCTAAGCATTACGTATGATTATGCCCTGGATACTGAATATTGCCTAGTTACTGAGTAGTGTACACGAGATGTATTGATCAAACAATAGTTGCAAACTTCGTATTAAAATGAAATCTTTCCCTGAAGAACTGCCATATATTCAAGCCAAACATATGCAGAAACTATTCGCAAATAAATGTTTTTATTTACAAAAGCCTATGTAATTTATAGGTAGAAAATTGAAGAAAATAAAGAGAAAACTTAATGCAGCTATTAAAAAATTAAAGTTTCAAGCAGTAAAAGATTAACTGGTTGGTTCAAGAACAATGGATACTTATTACAAAGCAAATACCTTGAAAAAGACCTTGAATGCTACAGATATTAACATCATAATTTAAAAAAAAATTACGAATAAAGTTACGAAACGTTATTCACAGAAATTAGAGGCGGAAAAGTGTAACAACTTGTTAGAAATTTTCTTTGTCGGCAGTCCATTATAGATGACAATTCATTTACGATGTCAGGACATATTTCTAGGAAAAGTGTTTTGCAATAATACGCATTTCCTTCTTTTCGAATGAAATAACCGATGAATAGATCTCTTCTGATCAATTAGATCTGTTGTCATTTGAATTGAAGGGTAAAACTTTTGCATTTTTGACGATTTTTGGCATTAGACGGTAACGTTTTAAATCAGAAATAAATTATGTTATTCGCAATTCACTTTTCTTCCTACGAATATCTCTATCTCAAAATACTTTGCTTGGTTAAAAATTGCTTTTCGTTAAAATCGTATAATTATGCGCAGTCAAATGTTTCATTTTATTAAAAAAACATTAAATTTAAATGACAGTAAATTTATAAAATGCTTTTAAAATTAATTTGATAAAACATATATAAATGTATGATAAAAATATACAAATCAGAATTCAAAATATAATTTGCAATAGTCCCTTAACTCTAATTTCAATTTAGTTGGTTTCTTTTTCCATCTTTAAGATATCGAATACTTATAATAAGTCTCTCTAAACTGCGTCACTTCAAAATTAATGCTCGTCACAGGATGCTCATATTACAATTATGACGCAAATGCTTATAGAAAGCTTCAAACAATAATAATTTCAAGTTTGAGAACTTAACTTAAAAGTAGCTAATGGGGACAAGGCTAAACTAAAACTAAATCCTTCTGAATAGGAATTTCATTTTGGATTAGTCACACTTTTGCTCTCAATTCCGTCCTGGCAATTTGCTTGCTATGCCACACTTCCTCTTAACGGATGCGCGTACTGCGCTAATTTATCAGTGACGCATAAAAATATTCCTTAACATCTGAAATATCGTTTTATCAAGAAATAAAAGAATTGCTGTAATGGTCATTATTTTCAGGATCTCCGTCTTATCTTCAAAATTATTACATATATACATATGCTACGTGAGTAAGTAAATAAATGTATACACTCGAAATGGTATCTACTTGATTATCTATATGCATGTAAGATAAAAATGTTTAAAGTAAAATACTAACTTAATTTGCACCAGTCCCTTAATTTTCCATTTTAATTCGGTTATTTTGCCTTTCATCCTAAAAATAACAACTGTCTATAATAAACCTATGTATACCGCTCCATTTCAAAATTAATCGTTGTCGTATGTTTCTTAAAAAACGCTAGTGACGCAGGCACTTACGTAAGGCCTCTGCCAATAACGCTTTTAGAAACTTAAATGAGGAATCAGAATAAATGAAATTCATTGCGTATATTGTTTAAAGAATGATAGCAATTAAAATTCACGTTAAACCAAAGGTATAACCTGGATATTGCTAGGCTGATAACAAAAGAAATATCAAGAATTGCAATAAAATATGAAGAGCTTTACTGAAATCACAAATGAGTTTTTGAAGCTTTTTAAAAGAAATATATGCTGGTCAATTTTTGTTCAAAGTTCCTCAGAAAATTTCTCATACTAAATGAGTAATATCATAATAATCAGTAGTCAAGATATTGCCCTCAAAATTGATTTGTTGTTTTATGTTGCCTTTCTGATGCAGTAATGAATGAACACTTGTTAATATAGCGCTCATAAAATATTGAGGTTATGTTATTGCTAATACGCATTGCGAGAAAACATTCAAAATATGATTTATTATTTCAAATGCAATAGCTATGTAAACTAAGTTACGCAGAAGTTCAAGCTTAGGTTGGTCTACATTTCTTGGAAAAGTCTATTGATTTCGAAGGAATCAACCAACTTAGATCTCTCTTCTTCAGGTAGTATTCTTCCTCAGAAGACCGTGAAATCTAGTTCAGTTAGCATTAGAGCAACTTAGCGATTTCTTAACTGAGGACTTTATGAAAAATTCATTTTATAAATTCCTCAGTTAAGAAATCGTTTTAACAAAGTTTTTTGACTTTGTCAAGACATTTTATAAATTAAACTCATAATTTGAAAGACCTTTATAAAAAGTAGTACAAGCTTTCAATCTATGGATTTTATGACGCCATTTATATACTTGTGGATAATAATGGTTTGACAATCATAATCGGCTTTTACACTAAATAATATTTAGATTAGTGCGATGGTTCTACAAAGCCATTTCCATTTCTTTCTTTCTTTAGGGGATTGAATAACAGTCAAAGATTATCATTGAATTTACTTTTGTGCTGCTCGAAGATGTGAGAATTACGTTACCTGATGTCCTTAAAATTGACATAGATTACCTCACAAGTTTTTGTGCCCACCAGTTGCCAAGTAGTAAAATCGCTGAATACTGGTATTTCGGTCCGAGGTTCAGACCAGGCAAAACAGGCTGACTACATGGGCGTTTTTGTAGTTTTCCCATGTGCAACGTAAATACGATCCAGTTTCCCTTAAAAGTCCTCTCCGGAGCATTCCTTCCTCTTGGTGTAGTGCCTAACGGCAGAGTACATAATAAATAAATAACTAAGTAAGGGGTTAGCTTATCCAACTATCAACTAAAAAGATCAGGATTTGCGACAGCACAGTTTGCTTCCCACGTTTTCTGCTCCGGCTTCCCCGAATAAGTATCTGTACATGGTTAAAGAATTAAGCAGAAAACGAAATAAATGTAACATGCCTGAAAGTTAAATAAATGCATTCACTTATATTTATGCATTATATGGATCATAATTACTTTACTTACACTTTGTATATACTTTCATTTACTTTATACTCAAGTGAGACATATGTATGTGTGTGTGTGTACTTTAAAAAATTATTTAAAAACAATAAGTAGTTTTATAGCATTTATATCTGGAACATTAAATAACCTGCCTTTATAATAAATGGTTTCTGCACATTGAGAAAGAATTATTTATTTCCACTTGTCTATAGGAATCCGACCAGAAAATTTCTTGTCGAATTCTCGAAATAATATAAAGAGAATTCTCCATTTTGCCGCATTTTTGCTTTTATTTTCAGGATCCGAAGATCAAAATTCTGCGAAGAATTTCCCGAAAAATGCGGGACAAAGGAAAAGGATATTCTGGTAAGTTTCTATAGTAGGAAAATATGTTTCTTCTTCTTCTCTTCAAATATGTAATATCTTCATTTCCTCTAGAGAATCCTCTATACTACAACTCGAAAATTCTAATGCATTTGGGCTAACGCAATAAACAGCATTTCATGCTGTTTCATGCTTAAATGCAAACTTTATTGCAATAAATATTTTTGAGATTTTCAGAAGTTCGAAAACTTCGCACAAAAAGCACGTAAATGAGCAATACCGGAAAAAATTAAAGCAAACTTGAAAATGTTATAAATCCTTTTTAAATACTTTTGTTTTATTATTCCGTACCGAACAAATATGCACTAGTACATTATGAAAACAGTTTATTTTTATGTCTGGTGTTAGTGAAAATTTTGCAAGTCTTATCAGATTCAGCAAGAATTCGGCAACTCTAGAACAGACGGGTAACTTTTCTAAGAATTTTGCAGTCATAGCTAAAATACCGTCTTTGCTTAGCAGCTTCACTCGAATATCAAGAAGAAATCCTTCGTCACTGTCATATTTTACTTCATGTTTTATTGGTGGGTCAACACACAATTTGGATCTTCGAATAAAATGTCGGAATCAATCGTTCATTTCAGTTGACGATGAATGGTTACACCTAGTCTTTGCGAATTGTTTAAACTATTGTTCTTTGCGAATTGTTGTAATGTAGAAACATACGACAACGATTAAGGATTTAGTTTTCCTCATCCATTGTTATATTTTGAATAATAGTAGTTGAATTAATTGAATAAGTGTTTCATATTAATTCAATAAGGCATAATGTGTTAATTTAAAACAGGCAAAGCAGGAATTTCAGGGACAGTTTCCCTCGCGGTTTGCGTCGTAGTGCCGGTCACGTCATGTCATAGAAGGGAACATTTGAAGTGGACACGTCAATATGTCCACTGAATGGCTGATCAATGGAGGTCTGTTCTCCTTGTGAATGAGTTTAAGTTTAGCCTCCAAAGCGATAGTAGGTATTATTTGATTTGGATAGGACCTGGAACCCGTTATCATTCATCAAACATCCGTAAAAAGAGATGCATACGGAGGAAGAAGTGTCTGCGTTTGGAGTGGTATCTCTTTAGATGGACGCCCAGACCCCCCATGTCTTTCCGCGTGGAACCGTGAATGCTCAGATCTATAGAGATGACATCCTTGATGATTATGTGCTCTCTAAAACAGGGACAACAAGTGATGGTTTCCTGCTACAAGACGACAACTCTAGACCGCACAGAGCTCACATTGTGGATGATTATCTTTAGAAGCAAACAATTCAGCGAAAAATGTGACAGGCTCGATCACCGGACCTAAATCCTATCTAGCATGCTTGAGATGCTCTAGAAAGATGTATAGCTGCTCTCAGTCCTTCTCTTCAGACCCTTCCCGCGCTTGCAAATGCACTTCATTCAGAACTAAAAGACCGCATAATTGACAGCATTACACATCGCTGTATATGCAGTATTGCTTCTAGGGGATATCATACTCCATAGTGAAGGTAATTTTCCTATTAAACTGGCACATCCTAATTGTTCATTTTATACTTATGCTAATTTCTATAACACCATAATTGTCTGGTAATTTCTTTTCATGTTATTTTACACCTTACTATATGTTGTACACTTGGATAAGTTTCAGGAATTCTACTCGTAACGTTTTGAGTTTAAATTGTTGATAATTCTACAATTATTACATTCATATTAACAAAAGGCATGAAAGGCTTAACTGGAACATAAGAACAACATAATTAAATCACTTTTAAAGCAAAAATGCACAATTTACCAACATATAAAAATAAAAATTCTCGGCCAATTGCAACCGAAAGGATAGGGGAACAACTGCATGTTATAGCAGTCTCTTACACTAAATTTCATCCTTCTGAAGCTACTCTTTTTTTGAGTTGTGCAAGATACGTAGACATGTGAAGACGTCACGGAAAAAATCTTTTCTAAATCCGTTTTAAAACAATTTTTACTTCCTTTTACGAAGTAAAAAGGAAGTATTGTAATAGCGAAAAGTTTCAGGCAGCATATTTTAACGAAAATATCCATTTTGACCGCTATCGAATGCAATTTAACGATGTTTTTGCGTGATAATTGTACGTAAGGACAGAATAAAAGACTATTTTCCTCCAAAAAAATTATAAAGCTGCTTTAAAATGAATTCTGAAGAGAATTTTTCGTGGCGTTTGTACGAACGTATGTACGTACGTACGTATCTCGCATAACGCAAAAACGAGTAGCCTCAGAACGGTAAAATTTTGTATATAGGACTGCTATAACATATAGATGTGCACCTCGTATTTTGGTTGCAATCAGCCGCACCAAACGTATATAAATATATTTATGTATATATCCACTCTGTTACCCGGATCAGTGATCTCAGTTTCTTTACTCTTATATGTTCGATGTTATGCAAATTGTATTTCTTTCTTTGTACCGAGGAGCGGCGCAGACGCAAATTTGTTAGGTTTTTAAAGCTCGCGGTTAGAGCTTCGAGGTTGCTGTGAATTACTGGAGTTTCAACTAAGCAAAGGCTCTTCTGAGTTTGTGTTTGGTAAGCCGCCACTGAAGTCGGAGTTTGTGTGGTCTTCGCCGTTCCTCAACTAACTTACTCTTTGAAAGTCAATAAAGAAGTTTCGGTCAACGTTATGAGTCTGAGGTTTTTTGGGTTCTATACTGAAGTAATATCAAGTCAATTTACAGTCCACTATTTTTAAACAACGGAACGTACATGTTTTATGGTCCGTCAGCTACGGAGTCGCAGTAAATTTGGTGAGTCAGTGTGTTTTTTTATCTTTCTTATTAGATAATGGAATTTACAACGCTTAAGATAAAAAAGCGTGTAGATAAAGCTAAGTTAAGTAAACTGAAAGAGAAAATTACCGTGACTTACGATTTGCTGATGTTGATCAGTTAGAACTTTTTAAATCTAGATTAAATGTCTTAATGACTGAACTTTCGGATATATTTTAGTAACATATTTGTAGTGTGTGAAAGAAAAAGATATTGATGTCTTTATAGAAGAGCAACAGGTCATATAAGATACTGTTGATGAGCTAATTTTAATGCTAACCAGAGTTAAGAATGCTAAAGATATTAGTGTGGAAAAACTAAATCTTGTGAAATAGCGAGTATACGCTTACCTAAGGCTAACTCTTCCTGTATTTAGTGGCAAGTGCTGAAGAATGGTTATCATTTTTAGATTTATTTAAAACGGCGATAGTGGATAATGACCGTTTATCAGGTGCACAAAACCTACAATATTTAAAGGGTTCTTTAAAAGGAGATGCTTTGCGGATTGTTCAAGCTTTAACTATTTGTGACTAGGAATTTCGAAATAGCGTGGCATTTATTGTGTCAAAGATTTTCACATAAGAGAGAATTACTTTCATCGTTATTAAAGAAAATCTTGTATTTATCAAATTTACAATCTGAAATTCCTAGTCAGATATTAGCGTTAGTAGACCACTGTAAGAGAGTGTGTATGTTCGTTTTTGAAAATCTAGGATTCAAAGTGCAGCAATTCGCGGATACTTTTTTAATGTTAATAGTACAGTTTAAATTGGATTCTTCGACGAGAGGATGGGGGGAAAGAACATTAAAGAGTGAGGAAATACCAACGCTTAATAATCTGCTAGAGAGTTCTTGAATCTCATGCCAGAACCTTGCAAGCAGGTAAAACGCAAGGTGTTTTAAAAACAAGGTACAAAAGACAATGACTTCATTGGCTTCAGAGATTCGCGCGCAGTGTACGTATTGTAAAGCCGGTCATTCAGTTTTTAAATGTAATAAGTTTTTAATTTGAATGTTCAGGAACGCGTTAATTTTGTCAAGAGAAATAATGGTTTGTTTTTAATTGTTTGGTTTCAAACCATAAAGCTTTCGAGTGTAGAAGTACACATAATGTAAAAAGTGCTTTAAAAATCATCACACACTACTGCATTCGAAAGAGTTCAAAATGAACCAAAGGCACGTAAAAGAGTGACGAACAGTTCGAATGAATTATCAGTGATTGCTAAGCCATTTTTCCCTGGGCCAGAACCATCGTACTCAATCGGCTGGGTCAGAGGAAGAATTATCGCAAGTTCACTAGTCCAGTATTTAAATATTGTGTTTCAGACTTTAATTTTTCAGCGTGAAGTTTTATTATGTACGGCTGTTATTAAAGTGTTAGATTCGGGTATCAGGTGAATACCAATTGTGTAGAGCCCTCCTTGATCCTGGCAGTCAAGCAAGCCTGATTTCAGAAGATTGTGTACAGAGACTAGGGTTAGCAAGAAGAAATGCCAAGAGTTTTTATTTCATGTTTAGGGTCTTTGGATACGAAAACTAATGGGATTACGGAAATAAACTTCGTTTCCGCATTTTCCAGCGAAAGTGTCATTTAAAACACCAGTATTTATCATCAATATAATTATTGGAACCTTTGCCGCATTTTTTATATATATTTTATATGCATTAGATAAGAAGTACGTTGAGGAATATAATGATTTAATGTTAGCAGATCCAACATTTTACAAGAGTGGGCCTGTTGATATACTTTTCGGCGTGTAGATATTGCCTTTACCTCTTTTGAAGGGGGGAAATAATTAAATGCGAAGAAAGGTAAACCAGTAGCGTCTCGTTCTGAACTAGGATGGATTATTTCAGGTAGTGTGAATATTCAATATCTACTATGTGTGTGAATCTACTATCTGTAATCCTACTATCTGTGTTGAATAATATACAAGTGGAAACTGATCAGATGCTGTCTGACTTTTGGAAATCTGATGCTGTACCTACGTTTGACATGCTTACTAAATCGGAGGAGAGCATGTGAAGATTATTTCAAATCTACATATACGAGAGAGGAAAGTGGGGTATATACTGTGAAATTACCGTTTCACTCTCCGCCTTCTCAGCTTGGAGATTCCAGACCAGACAATTAGCTATGCGTAGATTCCAATCTTTAGAAAATTCACTTTCTAAAAAGGCCTCAGATATATGAACAGT